GATCATAGGCATGCGATTTATAAAATAAAAACCACAGCCAATAATATAATCCTAATGATAACAACTATCGTACAACTTTCATTAACTATAAAAAAAAAAAAACCTACTCACATTTACAGGTCAGAAGAAATGGTATGCTACTACTGCAATGTAGTAAGAGGATATAAATCGCACCTAGCGTCTAAACCTGGATCGTTCTCTAACTGTCTGAAGTTCAACATCAATTATGCCAACTGTTGTAGCGTTCTGAACTGATGTTTGCTTTTATATCGTAGAGCACCGCTGACTAGATTTAATCAATTGTACGAGCATGCTCACTTCATCGCTCTCAAAGATCAGCGCGTGCAAGACAAGAATAAACCTACTGGTACGTTTGAACATGAATCAATGTTTGATCATAATTCTGTACGGCGCTAATGTTAAGTTGAACACCGAAAGACACTACATAGATCAATTTACATATATCAATTACAGAATTCAGCCACGCATTTTTCTGCGCATGCGTGCATGTGCGCATTTAGGCCTAATGCTTCTTTTCAAGTTTAAGTTGGTTTTATACTGCAGTTGACTAAAAGGTCCGTCGCTGCAAGGTGTTCATAACGAACCAAACCAAGAATAATCTATAATAGCTTTTCATTGAATATCTTAAGAAATGTCATAAATTGTTAATAAATCACAGAATTCACAGAGTGTTATGTAAGATAAGACACCTAATTTTCTGAAGAGAGATTATCTTACAAATAATATACTACTAATAAGTTAAGTACACTACGTACTACTACTGCTGCTGCTGCTACTACTGCTACTAGCAGGACTTAGGCCTAGTAGACAAGATCTGCTTCGATGTAGCGGCATCCTTTGGATGGACGATACGCCGTTGACCAGGTGTACACAAGGGTCTGTGTACGAGTATTTCCGTGTGAACTATTTCTTATTGCGACACATTGATCCATCTGCCAAAACACATTTTCGGTCTAGTTGGAAAGCTACAGTATAGATTGTTGTGATGTTGTCTGAAGAGTAGGAGGGATGCATCATGATAATACAAAAGTATAAATGTAAGCCTATAAATGCATAGGCCTAGATATAGTTTGCTGTTAACTTTTAGATCAATATCTCCATCTTCGATAGATGGCTCGCATACCTTTTCCAATTTCAGCATATTGATTTTCTTAGTAACATTTGCCATCAGGCTAAGCACTACTGTTTACATTTTTTTCTAATTTATATTACATGGAAGTGACGGTTACATAGAGCCCTGGTATAAAAATTATGAATCGCGATCCAAACTATGGTTCTTGTCAAGATATTTTGTAGGGTAGCTGGACATATTGTATAAACAAAATAAACATCTCAACATATACTTTTTTATACTATAGTTCGTAAACCTTCTGTGGTGGTGATAATCACAACAATTTGACAGCATATCATGCACTTTCTGTTTGTATTTCACCATAAAATCTGATTGTACTGCAAGTGCCGTGCACGTCCCGCCATAACACATATTTATCTATTTAATGCATGTTGTATCGCATGGTTTTTTATGCCAACCACATTTACCTGTTTGGGCCTCCCATTATGTAAGTGTCGGTTCGACCGTCAACAACAAAATGCAATAATTCACAATACTTATGATATAATTTGTGTTAAACTTGAGAATAAGGTTGGAGTTGGATAGCTTGGTGTTGCTTGTCTTTCAATTACAGGGTCCTAGGTTTAAGCCGTGTCACATAATTTTTAAGTGTGACTCAGATCACTCAGCCTAATGACGCCATAATGACAACATGGCAAAAGCTTGCGTAAGTTAACTTTAAGCATAAAAATTGTTTTTCTTTGTAATAGGCCTACTAGTTAGAATAAATAGGCCTTACATTGAATATGTTTTCAAAATATTTGTTTTCCAATATATACTGTATATATATATATATATATATATATATATATATATAATAAATCATCAAAGAAGGGTAAATACAGTGTTTGAAAAAAGGACACAATAATACATATTATATACATAAGTCATCAAAGAAAGGTAAATACAGTGTTCAAATGAAGGACATAATGATACATCGTGTAGCATAGCTCTCAACGAATGTAGTCCTGTAAATAAATGAATAAAGAAATTGTGTAATAAAATGCCAATTTCTTTATTCATTTATTTAAAGGACTACATTCGTTGAGAGCTATGCTACATGATGTATCATTATGGCCAAATGGCCGAGCGGTTAAAGCAGGGGCACCTTGATCATAGCCAACAATATCGCGGCCGGCTCGCTCCTATAATTCTGGTGGTGGAACAAGTCTTCTCGGATAAGGACTATAAACCGTAGGCCCAGTGTACACAAATGCTCATGTGCACTTTAAAGAACCCAGTACATCTTTCGAGATGAGTAGGGGGTTACCCCGGTGTACTGGTTCATTCGGCCTGTCGTGGACAGATGAAAGTGCGCCGGTTTACTGGCTGCTGAAGACATGAAGTGACCCTTAGGGGGAGGAGAAAGTTATTGTAAAGTGCAACATCTAGTCCCGAGCGCATAGAGACCATGTATTATGCGCTATATAAGTCTCCAACCATTACCATTATGTCCTTTATTCGAACACTGTATTTACCTTTCTTTGATGATTTATGTATATAATTTAACAGTGTTAACGGCTATCTTGATTTATATTACAGCATATGCAATTATCTGTTTCTAGCCGTACTTATTGTGTAATGGAGTGTATCAGGTGGTATTTGAATCTGTTTAACCATGAAGCCTCCGTGGTCTAATGGTTATGACGCTCGTCTTGACAGCGAGAGGTCGCAGGTTTGAGTCCCACCAGAGGCATTTTATTACACAATGTCTTTATTCATTTATTTACAGGACTACATTCGTTGAGAGCTATGCTACACGATGTATCATTATGTCCTTTATTCGAACACTGTATATATATATCGTTGAGAGCTATGCTACACGATGTATCATTATGTCCTTTATTCGAACACTGTATATATATATATATATATATATATATATATATATATATATTATCTATACGAAATTGCCTTCCAGAGTACTGAACAATTTCTGATTAAAAGGTCTAACAGCAAATTGGATGAATGAGTTCGTTCTTCGCTTTGATTGTGCTAGTGAACAACCTGATTTGTGTATTTTAATATAGTCAATGGATGAGAACTATTTTATGACTATTTTAATGTTAAGTTATTTACAACAGAATTCCTTGTTTCTGCACAAACCAAGAGTTCTTGCAAATCATGTAAAATATATATAGACAAAGAAGATAAGGACGTGGTGGTGGTGGTGATAATCATGGTGGTGATGGCAATAATGATGAAGATGATGGTACAATATTTAATTGACATAATTGATGAGGTTGATCTTAATATATGTTAGTAATGATGATAATGATGACATGTTAATGGCGCCATGCAGTGGCAGATTCAGGAATTTGGAAACAGAGGGAGGCCAGGGTAGACCACTTCAGCCCCACCATAGCTGGGCTGAGGTAAGAAAATTTACTTATTATGGCATCTCTAATGGCCGGATAATTGCACTCCTAAACTTGATTATAATTAATATTTTATACAATAAATAATATTTATAATCCTCCCACCCTTGAATCCACCACTGTAATGGTTATAAGGACACTGCTGATGATGGTGGTGGTGATAATAATAACTTGGACTTGGCAAGTATTCATATTCAAGCCTAACCTGATTCATAGCCAAAGTCTTGTGGTTCCTGCTTGATTTCAAAGGCTGGGTAACTCTGGTTGTTGTACTGGCATTCCAAACCATCTCCTTTCAGTGAATGAAATATTGGCTCAGAGTTCTGCTTTCTGAAATTTCGTTGGTTGACAGTAAGTGGAGGACTGAAACATGGTTCTGTTAATTGTCGGTGCATCCTAATAAATAAATAAATATAATGTTATATGCTTTCAGAAGTTATGTTTTTTATTTTAAAAAATGATCAGTTTATCACCCTCGCCCGCATGTCTTTTGTAGTATTGCAAAAATAACTTTCTTGGAATTTTTTTTATTAAAAAAAAATTTTTTTTTTCATTTATTTTTAAATTTTCTGTAAATAGTAAATATTGTCTGTACAGTATCATCTCAATCATGTGTTTTAACTTTGAATGTCAGTGCACCAACACACACAAGGGTGGTATTTGGCTTTAGCAAAATTTAAAATGAAAATAAAAAACCTCCCAATTTCTAGCCTACATAGGGTGATAAGTGGAGGATTGAAACATAAGGGTTATACGCTTTCAGATTAAACTGCGAGCTACTTTTCTTGAAAAGACAATATATTTTGTATTTTGTATAAATATTACAGCATTTCTAAGCAGAAAAAATACGTATTTTAATGACTTCTCTTTTACTTTTGTTATATAAAAAAAATGTAGTATATGAGCATAAAGTTACAAAATATTGTAGAAATGTACTATGCAATACGTTCATTATATAATTTTACATTCTAATCATAATGTTCTAATGCCACATCAAATAAAATAACAAGCATAATAAAATATACTGCTTTATGAAGTTGTTGTTGGATGATGCAATGTCTGTAAAATAAAAACTACAGTTTCTATACTAGCTATATCTTTGCTTTAGAAGACAAAATTTCGCAATTTTCGCATGTCTTTTAATTTTCATGCTTGTCGTTTTATCACTAAAATAAAGGGCTTTATGGTATGATTGATAATTGATAAATTCTTTTTATTATAATTATTGTTGTAATTATTAATATAATCATTATCACCGACTGTTTTACAAAAGTTCCTGTATTAAATCAAAGTAAACAATGCTTTAATCACCTTTTATCTCTATACTGTGTTCCCATTGCTGACATGAAATGTTGGTCCTTCATCGTCATACTGTTTTGTTGATGGATGTTGTTGTCTTTCATGATGTAATTGAAATTGACATCAGGGACCGGGATTGGAGTTGACGTTGGTAGCGGTGTTGGGGACTGACTTGGCATGCTTGTTGAAACCATGTTTGTGGGCGTGGTATTCCGTGGAAGTGGCTGAGTCTGTTGTGGCACCATTGCAGGTCCATTTTCTGTTGTTGGTTTGTTCACAAATGCTTTCTCTCCAAACTCAAATTTGTTGTCAAATGTGAATTTTGGTGTTCTGGCATGTGAACAAGACTTCTGACAGAATGGACTTCTAGGCTCTGGTTTTATCTTGATACATGCAAGCACTACAAGATAAAAAGATGGAAAACTTTGATTACAAACAGCAATAAAAAACATCTATGCACAAAATTATTATTACTATAATCAAGTTCTCTTTAAAAGTTTACTTAATATTATACAGTATATATAAGTGAAATAATGATGTGATATATCTAAATATTTTTGTATATGAATTAAAAATTTGCTACTTATGTGTTAACCCCCGAATTTATGGAATTCAATATAAACCTTAAAAAACCCCAGAATACACAAACTATGCTGTTATAAACAATGTATGGTACATAGGTCCTTTCTCTATAATTATACCCTACAATGGCACATATCAACACCTCACAAAACGCCTTCCACTAGGTTATGTCCAGTAATTTGATTAATAAAGGAATTTTCATGAAATATCTGCCACAATATTCTTGAATGATGAAATTGTCGGTCATTAGAGAGTATGTATACAAAATCAATTTCTAGTGATAATTGAATCATAAAAGATCGAACCCAATATCTGTTGATCCAAATACTTTGATCTCCTCTCACTACAACTACCACAATTTCTCATCTTACAAACCAATAGTAAAAATAGTACAAACCTTGTACATATTTGTAAACAATGGAATATCATTTAGAGCATTTTGGTGATTCTTGGAAGAATTTAATGTAGCCTTTAGTTGAATTAAAATAATGTTGGTTCTTTAATGTAAATTTAAAGAACCAACATTGTTTTGGTGCTTATTACAAAAATAAATAACAGTTATTCTGCCAGGAGAATTACCTCATATATACACACATATATATATTACATATGGGCAAATATACAAAAGTATATATAACAGGCCTTTATACGATTGTATATACACACATATATAATATTGTATATAGGCACATATACAAATGTATGGCACTAAAAAAATTGTACATGCAAGTTTGATAAAAACATCCTTAGAATACAATATAAACATATTATTTTTAATCACCAGTTATTTTTAGGTTTATGATGACAAGTTATCTTCGGATTAAAATTGAAAAAAATCCTTTCTTCACAAAATTTCACTCTTGCTTTGAATATTATTTCTTGTAAAACAAATATGGTAGGTACTGTTTTCATTATTTATTAGTTATTTTGTCTAACAAATTCATTATTGTACCTAGTGAAATTAATATACCTATAATATACCAATATACCAATAGTTGCATCAAAGTTATATAAGCAGCAGTAAGACAAACAGACTAAAATAATTTATTGAATTATTAGTAAATAACAACGACCTAAATATTAAAATTTATGTTTCTATTTGTCTTCTGGTCTGATTTTCAAACATGAGTCATCGACTATAAGGCCCAATAAAAAAATGATTAGTTTACCACAATCGCTCACATAGAATTTTTTTTTCTCATTTATTTTAAAATTTTCAGTAAATAGCAGATATTTTTTTTACAGTATTATCTCAATCACATACTTTACTTTGAAAGTCAATGCACCAGCAAACAGCACAAAGGTGGTATTTGGCTTCCTATTAAAGGCCTCTGGGGCTTATAAAACGAGGCCTATTTGTGGGCCTTTGATGAATAAAATGAATAAATGAATAAAATCAAAATAAAAAACATCCCAATTTCTAGCCTAGATAGTGTGATAAACAAATTTTTTTTTTATTGGGCCTACAGATTAATAAGTTTCAGAAGGAATTACCAAACAAAACCAATATTTGTAGGCCGATAAGTTTTCTTACATCAAATATATTTAAGTGTGATTTGTGGGAAAGGTTGGCTGGGTATGTATCCATAAGTAGCAGACGGAATCAAGTGATGTGGTTTTATCTGTGGTATAGTACTGCTGGCATTGCTAGTGCAGTGAGCATGTCATTTCAAGGCTGTGATAAGTGAAAGCTTCCAGTGTAAGTTGATTTGTTTGGCAGCCCAAGGCCACGTAAGTGAACACTTCCAGATAAATATCTATCATTGCACAGCCACAAGTCAGCAGAAAGCCAAGTGAAACAGGAGGTCCCTTTTATTAACTTTACAATACAAATTTCACTTGCGCTAAAGTTTAAAGTCCAGTAATAAATGTTTGAATTAAGTATTACATACAAAAAAATTCCTAGAATATCTTGCTTTTCTAGATGAAAATTTGCTGATTATACATCTAACCCTGTGGTATCATTTTTACCTAATTAAAAATGAGATATTATTTTAGATTTCAAATATTTTTAATAGCAAACATTTTTGGACTTAAATTTCAGTTTGGATAGAGTTTATTGGCAAATGACTATGACACCAGGGGACAACAATAATTCCCTGTTAAGTTTTCTGGAATAATCCATTCGGTTGAAGGGATGAACTTATTGTTATTTAAAACATCAATACACAATTGATTTTATGATGATAACAAATAAACATACTAGGCCCAATGTTATGTAAATTTGAAGATTTGTGACAAAAAATCAATATGAATGTCATTGAATTTAAACAAACCAGACTAGGCCCTACAATAATATATTAAAAAATATAAAGCTAAATTTGACATGTGAACTTGTTATGTTACTGTCTCACATAACTGCCATTATCTTGACTATTCAAAATATAAAGTTAAAATTCTTTTTTATTTTTAACAAGACTAGTATCTTAAAATCCGAATTCCAAATTATCAATATCAAAATTGGAAAACTAAGATTACAGATTAATGAAACATTTTTTATAATATTGACTATAGGAACTGCATAACATATTTTTTCTTTCAAATGTTAGTACAATAACTTGTCATTGGGATCCATATGATTAACCTTCTCTGTCACTTTCACTGGATCACCAATCTTGTCATAATTCCTAAATGTATACTGCTACTTTGCAAAGGATTCTAATATATCAATAACTGTCCTGTTTACAATCATGACTTGAAGATGTAATTCAATTTTCACCTTCAATAATCTCAAGTCGAATTTAGTATGTGCGATTGGATTAAGTCCAAAGCCAATTTGAGCCATCATTGAGGTTAAGTCTTGCTGCTGGCTTCTAAGATATTATAAATAATGGAGATATGAAACACAAACATGCGGGACAGTATCAAAGTCGGGAAAACTACCATAATTAGACTGACGTATTTGTCTATCTTACATCAGAATTCTTGCTATGAATTTAATAACAAATTGATTAATATAAATGGATTAGGTAGACTACAGCTGTATTCTTAGGAAGTAAGTTTATCCTAACAAGGCTGATAGGCATACAATGTAGTATTTAGGCTAGTATATGATTCATTTTTGCCATTTCACTACCTGGGAAAATATGAAAATTAAAGCACCATCAACAACAACAAATTTCAATGATATCTTATAATTTTTGACAAATATAGAATCTTGTATCTTGAAGGATATTGTATAATAAAGGTTACAATTCATTTATTTCTTCACTTGATATAAAATATAATGTTAAAAGAACAATACATAAAGCAAAACAATGAAAAATGTTTTCAGGTGGACCAGATTGCCAATAGCAAAATTAAACATTTTGTATGTGGTTCTGCAACCATCCAACAAAATAAAATACAAATAAAATAAATGTATTGATAATAATAAAAATAATATTGTATCATATAATAGTAATTATTATCATCATTATTGATTAGTGGAAATTGCAATGATCTAAATGGTCACAAGTTTAGCGTCACAAACACTTTGAATGTGTTGAGTAGAGATACAACAGTATCGTAACCGACTTTTTATACCACGATCATAGACTTCACAAGTAAATAATTCACTTACAAAGCCATATGATTGTGCACATAGTTGATGCATGCTTGCTTGCGTGATACGCATCATAGGTATTTATTATTAATTAGTGAAGATCACACATCGACATTCACATTTTCTTGTAAGTTGCATTATGTAAATCCACTTTGATTTGAATGTCTCTTCAAAACATACAAAACAACAAGAACAAAAGATTAAACTTTCACAATTTAAATACTATTTGCTAAATAAAAATTACATTTTACATCATATTGTAATTACAAATTCTTATGCCAAGTTTGGCCTTTGCTTTCATCAAGATAATCCTGAACAACAGTTTACTGCTGACTGTTGGCCTATCGCTGCAAATCAAGAACAGCAGAAAATGGCTATAAACACATTACAGTATTGGTGGTGATGGAGACATACTGTATGAACTATAGTACAGAGAATTTGCACTAGCAATTAAATGAGAAAAAATTACATTTGTCGAAAAACATTTAACATTCAGAACCACAATTCCAAACCTTTTTGAGTATAACATGAATAAATATAAATTAAATTATTTGGCAACAACAAAATATTATTTAATCATAACTCATTTTTAAAGAAGTGAAGATGAACTGACAAATATTTAACTAATATGGATTAAAAGTTTGATAAAAATTACATATATTCAATCACAATAGTTGATAGAAAAATGCAAAATGTATACAATTTCAATATCAGGCACAACTTTGTTTTTGAATACGCTTGCACAGTGGTGGTGATTGGGCTGCCCACCAGGATACAATTCTTATCTCCAAAAGTACCATACTTGCCAATGAGTGTATAGAGTTCATTAGCATGCTCAAGGCAGAATCAGAACATTTGTCTTTTCAAAAAGAGAGTACACTTTAACTTCTTGCTGCAACTGGAGAGTAGCAAATGGATTTGAACCAGGAACCCACAATTCAATGCTAACATAGCAGCAAATCTGCAATGTAGCTGACTGAACTGCGCAGCCCTCAAAATCAAGTGCTTATAGAAAATGAAAGCATATTATAATTTGATTAACTTGTCTAAACTAGTATTTTGACAGTTCCAAAGTGAATATTTGACTGAGAAATTTGACGATACGAGATGACATTTACAAACAATGACATCGCAGCATGATGGACCTCAGGCTCAATAACAAGAAATCTTGAAAAAAGAAGCTTTGTCTAAATCTTTATTTTTCTCAAAAAAGATTGAACACACTGAATCAGTAAAGCATATTTATCATTTGACAGACGGCATCAGTAGAGCTG